GAAAGAGCAGACAGAGAGAATCAGAGAAATAGAGGTGAATCAGAGAAATAGAGAAATAGATTTTTTTTTTCAGCAGTGACTGCGGTGACAGGCATGTTTTCATTTCTTTCAGTCATATCCCTCTGCTCCTGCTTAATCATAAGTGTTCTTCCAAGGACCTGAGATATTCCCCCTGTATCATAATAAATTCTGGGAGACAGGTCAGGCAAGATGGTGATAGGCCCAAGAATTGCAGCTAAACAGAGATCAAGTGCAGTTCTAGCTGCCTGATGGAGGTCTGCTGTCCTCGACATCTAATGGCTTCGGAGATAATTTCTTTTTGTTTTCCAAGCCTTGGTGAGAGGGAATGGCAACTTGGGTCTGAGGAAGACTGCTTGGCATGTCTCATCCCTACATTTTCTGCAGTGTCTAGAAGTTCTTGAGAGCAGAAGTTAACCAGAGTTGGTGTTGTTTTCAGCTGTGTCAAAAGGAAGCCCATTCCCTAGCTGTGAAACAAGAGGGTTTTCCCACTATTGCAAAGGGGAAGGTGGGGCAAAGGAAGGCAGGCTCCAGCTAAGGGCCTCGAGTTCTTTTTCCTGTGTTGTGCAAGAGAGTCACATTACCCTGCATTGTGACTGGGGCTTCCTTCACCAAATTCTGTGTTCTGCAGCTGTCCTGTGCCTTGTTCTTCTCTCTCTCCTCATTTTCCTCACCATACTAGTGTGTGTCAAATCAGAAGAAAAAAGGTGTCAAGCCTCTGAGTGTTGCCAAGGCAGATGGCTTGAATGGGAATGTGTTTTTTTCCTCTTCTCCCCTGCATCTGCGAGATTCCCCCTCCCCCAGCAAAAAAAATTATTGCATTGATCAACAACCCCTCTTGATTCTGATTATGCAAAATTGTGGAATTATGCACAATTATGGAACAGCCTCCCTTTGGAGGTTTGCCTGGCCCTCCCTGTTGATCTTCAGGAACCAGTTGAAGACAGTTTTCGTTAGGACTGCATTTAACTAATTTGTTCTTTATTTATTGGTAGTTTTTAATTGGAGTTTTAAAATTATTACTTTTTAGTGTTGTGTTATGTACGTGGACTGCCTCCAGGGGTCCACGGACAGGCCAGAGCTTGGACCCGAAAACAAAGGAAACTTCGGATCCTGGATTCCCCAGCCCCAACCAATAGCCACCTTGGTGGGACATTTAAACCCTCCAATGGGAGTGGGGGGGTTGCTGGTGGATATGTATATAGTTGGCCCTGTTGGCCGTTAGAGTCAGTCTTTGTCTATGTGAAGTACAATAAACGTGTGCTACAGCATGTCGTTTTCCGAGTCCTCCATGCGGTGAACCCAGTACTTTTCATGTTGCTTTTGTTTTTTTAATGTTTTATTTGTACTTATGTTGTAAGCCGTCTTGAGTTCCATAAGGGAGAAAGGCAGCTAGTAAGTGTTTTTAAATAAAGAAATGAGTAGGAGAGAGACAGGAAGACTGTTTTCCTGAGAATTGCCCACCCTTCTCACCAGGCGTAAAGAGCCATGGCTCTGCATCGAATAACAAGTCTAGTAGAGAGCCGAAACCTCTGAATGCCACACCCACCCTCATCCCACTGGGGCCTTTGTAGACGAAAAGAGTCTACCAAGGCTCTTTGGTGAATGATAGGCCAGTCTCTGAAGTTTTCATTTCACCGTTTTTACCTTTAGAAGAAGAGCAATGTAAACATTTCTGTTTCTGAATAGAGTAAGAACCCAGTAGCACCTTAACAGACCAACAAAAGTTGTGGTAGAGCATGAGCTTTCATGAGTCACTGCTTACTTCTTCTTGATTTGTTTCTGAATGAAATTGTTGTTGGGGTCAGTTGAATGGCTTGTAGTATGGGGTAGAGATGTGAAGGCCTGGGAAAAAAACAAAAATATTCGGGGAGGAAACGTCCCGTCCCCCCCGTTTTTTCCCTGAAGCCTTTTTTGTTTTTTTTCTGAAAAATTGGAAAAATTGAAAAAAGGAGAGAAAAATTGATTATGGAATATTTTATTTTAACATGATGAATAAAATATTTTAAGACAAGGTGTTCAGATATTTTCCATATCATTTCTAAAAAATATGTATGGTATCAGATTGATCTAATTTCTGTACACTGAGGACAAGCAAGTCCTAGGTTACAAACTGAACTTTCCAATGCAAGAACAAGATGCATTTCTTCCTTTAGGAGGTGCTATTGTCACAGGAAAAGAAAAAGGTTTCAGTTTTGTTTTTGCATATGGGTGGGTATTCTGTTTGTAATAATTGTTTGGATACACTGTATTTTTAATATGCTAGTTGTGATAATTTTATGCCAAGTAAAAATGTCCATAGTCATATTTCATGTTCCTAAAGTAACAGAATGACTTTCAATCTGGAAAAGAAAAGAAAAGTGCTAATGTAGCATTTTTTTCAATTTTTCCAAAAATTTCCGTTTTCCCATGAAAAAAACTGGCTTTTTTTCCGAGCTTCAACATTTCCAGAAGTTTTACATCTCTAGTATGGTGTGGTGGTGAAAGTATGTTGTCCCCTTCAGCCTATGAATTTTTGTCCTTGTAATTCCATAGTACAGCATAAGTATTGCTGAGTTTGTTCCTTGTCCTCCAGCATCACTATTATGGCTTCCTTTTTCTTTGTTGGCTCTGTTCTTCTTACAGAAAAGATCCATAGACAAAACTTGGCATGTGGCAGAGTGTCAGGTAGCCCTGTCATATGTCTGGAATGTGGAGGGGTGCCCTCCCATTTTCTGTCAGCTTTCCCTGGCTCACCAACTATTTGCTATCTTATGCTTGACCTTGTAGATGCTCCAGCTGCACTTTTAATCGACTTGGAAAGTTAACGGCTTTTGCTTTGCCTGCTTGCTTTGCCCGCGTGTGTGAGATGTATCCATTGGCTCATGCTTACCGGGGGTGGTGGTGTTTGATTCTAGTATAAGTCAGAGGCCCTAGTATTGGCGGCCATTCCTGACACAAGCTGTACACGTGTCTCTAGTACTGGATTTACCAATAAACAGTTATCTTCTCATGAAGCCCTGTGTTGTGTAACTCGACTAAGGACCCTGATACAGAGCTCTGTTTTTGAGGAATAACTCCATTTATTTTTTTGTTTAAATATCAGGATTTGTTTCATTCATTTATACTCCACTTTTCTCCCCTGTGAGGACCCAGAGTGCCATACGACATTCTCCCTCTCTCCAGTGTATCCTCACAACACCCCCTCTTCTGTGAGGTAGGTTAGGTGGATTGTCTATAACTGGCCGAAGGTCACCCAGCTAGTTTTCCATGGCAGATTGGAGATTTGAACCTGAGTGCCCCAGATCCTACCCCCAGGGGTGTCTAACATAAGGCCCAGAGGCTGGATCTCGCCCGTCCAGGGCTCTTATGCGGCCCGCGAGCAACTGATGCAAGGGAGGGAGTGCTGGGGGGGGAATGGGCAGAGCCACTCCATTATGGCTTTAGCACAGCAAAACAACCTTGCCTGCAGCAGTCAAGCATCATGGGAGCATCTGCCCAGCATTGCACTGCTGCCTCTCTGGTCCGCCTCTGTGGGTTTTCCTCTGCACCCCCCTCCCACCCCAGGGGGCCTTGCAGTGAGGACGCACCAACTCGGTGCTTACCAGCTGCTGTCCTTTATACAGTTTCTACCTCCAGTACCCGGCGTTACGTTTGATGGCACACATGACCCAGCCCAACAAAGAGACATTTATGTCAGATCTGGCCCTCGTAACAAATGAATTTGACACCTTTGCTCTAACCACTACACCACATTGTGTGGTAGTAATTCTAAACAGGTTGTCTGTTGCAGTAGAAATAAACTCTTAGTACCTTAAAGACTAACAACATTTTATTCTAGCATAATTTTTGTGGATGGTCATTTTGTTAGTCCCTGTGATTGGATCCTGTTTTGCATTTATTTATTTTAGGAGAGTGGAGGGCAGGCAGCCGGCAGGGACAAAGGGCCATGCAATGCAGGAGCTATAGACTGAAATGTAATATGTGAAAACTGGTCAGGAAGAAATACTAAACGAATTAACAGTTATGATTTGGGATTC